CTTACATCTCTGGGGCTCCATTGCAATTATTTGGTTTTCCAAATAAAAGATATAACAAGATTAACACAGTAAATTGGTAAACATGTCTTTCAAGATATACAACTTTTTACCTACTCTGCTACTTAAGACAAATATTCAATGATAACATAGGATCCAGAATTCCACATTTGGGGTTCTAAAGCAGAAACAAGGTCTGGCTTCCAGAATGTACTATAACACTATAAAAATTATGTACCTCTGATAGCTGTGTTCAGTATCAAAATCTATACAAAACTTATTAGCCAATATGAAAATCATAATCATTATTTCTGTCTAAATGCACAAAACCAAAAGTGGCAGGAGCATTCTAAAATTCAGTTATAGCAGCTACTGAAACAGAAGGTATAGAGGAAAAAGTGTTATCCCTTGAAAACAGGTTGGAATGAGTTTAAACTAAGATTGAGATAAACCCGTTCGGAAACCTTAAATACTTAAGTACTTAAACTAGAAATGGAAACCACTGAAAATACAGTTAAAATGCATTAGTGAAGAGCACCGCCACACTAAGAGCCCCAGATAGCACTTTCCCTAATTTGAATCAGGTTTTCTGCCTCTTTTGCTTGCTACAAGCACCTAGCTGGCAATCACTTCCTCAATAGAATGGAAGCTCAAAATTCAGAGAAAACTGAGGGCAAAAGACCATTGCCCAAAGTCTAAATTCAAGGGTTTTTGTTTGTTTGTTTTTGTTTTATTTTTAAACTTCTCCTTCTTCAATCCATACTGCCACAAAGTCTTCCAAGTTGGAAGAACTACTTTGGGTAATTAATCTACAATGCACAAATCTTCTCACATAAAGTTCTATCTCACTTTCAAGTTCCCATGAAGTTTTCTGACATGGGCTGCAACACAGCCATAAACCTTAGATTTAATAACTTCCAACACATAAAATGGAGGAAATATTAATTTAATACTAATATATGATTCATGAAAAGAATAATTTAGTTACCATCCCTTCCTAAGATGCTGCAGAGCCCCATCTGCTGGTAGAAGAGTTATTCAGGAGTATTACATCCCACAGCTGATACTTGATTTTTTCCAACAGCAGTTGGTATCAGTTGATAACTGTTTTGTTTGTTTTTAAATACATCCATAGACAAACACACACATACACAAAAATCCTTAATTAAAAATACTTTTAATGAAAGAATATAGAAGCCTTTGAAAATGTGCATTCCTTCCTAAATACTAAAGAATTTACACAAACAACTTCAGATTATCTTTCCCAACACAAGCTTATTTTCTTCAGTTAACAGAGACTGACATCAACTCAATTTTCACAAACATTGTAATACGACTTACAGTGATTCATAAAGAAGATGGCAAAGTGCACACTGGTTAAAGTGGGAGAACAAAGTAAGATGACTTATCTTCCCCAATTTCAGGTAGATTTCAGATATCAAAGAATGGACTGGGTTGAAAAGGATCACAATGATCATCTAGTTTCAACCCCCCTGCTACATGCAGTGTTGCCAACCAGCAGACCAGGCTGCCCAGAGCCACATCCAACCTGGCCTTGAATGCCTCCAGGGATGGGGCATCCACAACCTCCTTGGGCAACCTGTTTCAGTGCGTCACCACCCTCTGTGGGAAAAAATTCCTCCTAATATCTAACCTAATATCTCCCCTGCCTCAGTTGCTCCTATCTATCCCCTGTCTCCTTCTTGTTCTATCAATATCCACCCTCATAAACAGCTCCCTTCAAGTACTGGAGACCACAAGAGAAGGTCTCCCTGGGAGCCTTCTCTTCTCCACACTAAACAAGCCTAGTTCCCTCAAGCTTTCCTCATAGGAGAGGTGCTCCAGCCCTCTGATCATCTCAGTGGCCCTCCTCTGGACCTGCTCAAATTGCTCCACGTCCTTCCGGTACTGCGGGCCCCAGGCCTGGATGCAATACTGCAGATGGGGCTTCACAAGAGCCAAGTAGAGGGGGACAATCACCTCCCTCCCCCTGCTGGCCACCCCTTTTTTAATGCAGCCCAGAACACAGTTGGCCTTCTGGGCTGCAAGCACACACTGCTGGTTCATGTCCAGCTTCTCGTCCACCAGGACCCCCAAGTCCTTCTCCACAGGGCTGCTCTCAAGGAGATCTTCCCCCAGTCTGTATAAATACCTGGGATTGCCCCAACTCAAGTGCAGCACCCTGCACTTGGCCTTATTGAACCTCAAATATATATTCGAGATAAATTCTTGTGTGGTATGAGATATAAAACATACAATGATGACTTATTTATAATTTTTTAGATTGGAATAAAGAGACTGAGATTTCTAACTTAAGGCAACTAATTCCAAGTATTTCTTTTTTCTCCATGGAAAAAAAAAAAAATCCCTTCCCAAAAAGGGAAATTCTTAGTTTGTGATAAAACATTTAAGAGGGGAATATTTAAACACAAAAAAAGATGCATAATGGTTTAGCTAAATTAAACAAAAAATGCAAATGGCTGCAGATCTGATTTAATCAAAACTAAACTCTGCATAGCAGTTTGATCTACAAGACAGAACTCTCAGCTCTGAGAAATCTCCACTGATACTGGAGTGATATCTTCAAACAATACATATCTTGCTACATAGATTGAAGGACTGAATCAAAGAAATTTATATAAAAATATTCATTTGCAATTATTCATGATTAATTGAATGTGCATAGTTTTGTGGCTCTGGATTATACAGAGATTTTAGGCTTCTAACTGTGTTTTGAGTCTTATCCAAATCAGATGCCCATAGTAAACACTGCAAATAACCTGAAAGTCTGTTACCATGAATATTCCCATTAAAAAGAAAGAGAAACCAGCTTCTGTTGCCTGGATTTAAACTATAAATTCTAAGCAGGTGTTTTTGGAAGAAAACAGCAAAGGAAAAGCTGAAGGAAGGTACAGGATTGGGAAAGAAAAAAAAAGGTACATCTACATCTGCTTTCAATTGTTTGTTTTATGCTTACACCAGTAAATAGACAACGCCAGGCAGTGGTGGAGAGCCAAAAAATTCCCAGAAGAGAAATTATTGCTGTTGTAGTCATTAGAGATTTGTGGGCTCATGACCCTAGAAAGTTAGAGAAATTAGCCTCATAACATCTGGACAATGCTTAATCTAATTGTGCCCTCTACTGGCTTGAAAGGTAAAGACACTACAGCTCATACCATCAGTCTTCAATTTCATTAAGAAAAAAAAAAAAAACCAATAAAAATCATTTCCAGACATTCCTCTGCAGACTACCTTTCAAAATACTGAAATACAGTACACTGCTACACTGTCACTTAAGTAATGTTCTACACTCCTGTAGTCTGAAGTGTTGCCAATATTAACACACTCCATGTACACTGAATTCCCATGGTTCAGGGCACATACAGCAAATTCATTCCTTTGACAACCAGCTCTACTGTTAAATACTGCTTCCAACCCTTCTACTTACTTAGAAGAAAACCAACAGGCTATTATTCATATTTTTTAATAATTTTACACAGCAATGACAACTTTTTTTTTAAGATTGTTTTACCAAGTTTAGTACATCCACAATTACATTCACTCAACACTATAATGAGGCTTTGGGGCAGTAAACAAATATTAAATAAGTGGTAGGACAGTTTAAGACAAAGTCAAATTTAGACATACTTAAGTCAAAGGCAGATACAATTTTGTACAACACAAATATACGCTGCTGCTTACCAAAAGAAAAAAAAAACATCAGTGTTTTTTTGTATATCTTCGTATTTTCCTTTTAAGGCTGTTTGTCTGACAGCAAACAAGATTTAAATTATTCAGTACTTTAAGCAAGACTTGTTAGAAGAAAAATTACCTTTATTTTTCCTATTTTGCCTCTATGAAAAAGATGGACAAAAATGCTCAGAGTATTTGAACTTGGATAGTCTAACAAGTTAAGGTGGCAAAAAGTGAAATTAAGAAAATAGAAGTGAAACAATCGAGAGGTGGAGCTTTATTAATGCTAAAGGACCTGTTTTTTCTCTTTTCTGTGAAAACCAATGCTTTAATAGACAATGAAGAGAAAAAAAACTAGAGCAGCGTCTGAGAATGAAAAACACCACTGCTTCAAAGACATGCTCCCATGGCAAAGTCAGGGGAAGAAAAAAGAAAACAAACAATCCTATAAATATATATATATGTGTGTACATAAAAGTCAAGCTAAATGACACTAAATTATCTACCAGAAATAAAACAGTGAAAAAGCAAAGAAACTCAATTTTATTGAGAACTCTGGGGAGAGGAGTGGAATGAAACACACTCTAACATGAAATCAGAATTTAAACTAAATTTTAGAGTTATTTCCTCTCATTTTAGAAATACGCTGATACAAAAGCTGCTCTTCACCCTCTTTACTTACTAAGCTTTATTTAAAGCCCCTGAATTTGAGAAAAAAGTTTTAGGGAGTAGCATAGAGATGTGAGAGGGAAGGGTCAGGTTGGGTGTTAGGAAAAGGTTCTACACCTGAGGGTGGTGAGCTCAGAACAGGGTCTGCTGGGGCCACAGTTGTGCCCTGAGTTGCCAGAGTTGAAGAAGCTTTTGGGCAATGCTCTCAGACATAGGGCTTGGACTCTGGGTGGTCCTTTGTGGAACCAGAAGTAGGACTCCCTACAGGTCCATTCTAACTCAGGATATTCTATGATTATGAAAAGAAAAATAAGACTTACTGTACTGACTAAGTGAACTAAGAATTGAAATCAAAGTCATTAAAGTTAGAAGAAAAATACACTAAGTATTAAATATTTAAAAATGAAAGAAACTTAGAGTGAAAAGCCTCCTCAGACTACAGTAGGACACATTTATATAAGACCCAGGAGAGCACCTGTAGTAGTAGTCACTTATGCCTGGTACTGAAAAGCAACCCCTCCCACTCTGAGCACATTATAACTGCCAAACACATGAGTAAACATTATTCCCAGAAAACCATTACTTAATACAGTATTTTCAAGCCTGCTGATAAATTCAAAAAGCATCTTGTTTTACATTACCTTTATTGTTTTGTCCATAGAAGCTGAGAGAAGCATATGACTTTGTTCTCGTACAGTGCACCACTGGATTGCATTAACAGGGCCGCTGTGTTTAGACATATGAAATATTAAGCTTTTTGGAACTTCAGTTAATTTATACCTGGATCCTAAATATGGCTTAATTAATTCAGATATCTTTCTCACTGTCTGCTCTCCTGGTATATCTAGCTTCACATCACAACTGGTGCTCTCGCTTTGATCAGACTCCTTTTTTTCATAGGCACTGGAATTTTCTTGACGTAACCTTTTAGGGATATATGGTCTAATTCCTTTGGGGGCAGTTGGACTATCTTTATGTGTTCTCTTCTGGGAAGCACCATTTCCAGAGTTTCTTGAAGAGCTCAACGTCTGTTCATAGTTTTTGTAGGGCATACGTAATGCAGTAGGACTAGAGTATGCTCTCCTACAATAAGATGTCAAATCATTGTTATTATTCAGTGCATAATGCTCAGGGGGATCTTCACAAACAACGCTCATGTCAAAATTGCCAGTGTTCTCAGTAAGCTGCGTTTCATATGTAGATTTTGTACTCAAAATACCAGGTGCAAAGCGCTGAACAGGATTTGCAGAAGAACTCGGAAGGCTTGCTTGTCTGGTAGTACTGAGATCATCAGCTTTTTCAGTTTCTGCCTCAGGGTCTGAATCATCATAAGCAACCAGTGAAGAACTCATTATGGCTGGATACAGCAGACTCCAGAAATCTCGTGCTGGAATCCTCCAAATGATGATCTACAATAAAGAATTGACCATTCAGAGCACAATTTATTATGGATCCTACAGTTTCAATAACTTAAGTTCTTAAAATCCTTAACTGTTTAATTCCTGTTTATTCCTGGAATTTATTTTTCTATAATAGCACATATGTACATTCAATTATGCAACATAATGTGCCTCCAAGCACTCTGCATACATTTTTTATGCTTTGCAGAGATGCATTTGTACGAGACAAAACTATGAAAATGAGTACGGAAAGAAAAACAAAATTCCAACACAAGCACTGCAAATCACTTTCCCCTTGCTTGCAATAGCATTCCCTCCCCCCTTGCACACAAAACAAAGGCTAACGTAACTATGCAGTATTTTAGGATTTTCATTTATAAGAATATGAATACAAGTACTTTGGAATGAGACTAACAGCATCTATTTCTTTCAAATCATCTATGTTGTTATGTGTGAAGGGATTCAGTTGGCAACAAAAATAACATGAAGGCTGCTCTGAAAGTAATGCCTTATTATATTGGTCCATAACATGAAAGGTGGATGCTGGCAGTAGATGCTGAACCCTCCCACCAATATCCCATTACATTTTGTTGCTGTGCAACAGATGGCAGCACAGGAGCAGTCTGACACAATGGCACTTGACATGAAAGTATGCATGAAGCAAAGGAGCATCACTGAATCCTTTCATGCGGATAAAATGGCAGCCACTGATACTCACTGATGCTTGCTGAATGTTTAAGGAGACCAAACAGTGGATGCGAGCACAGTGAAGTGCTGGGTGATGCATTTCAGCAGTGGAGGCAGTGGTAGAGTGACCTCCACTGGTGCAGATTTTAACTGCTCTTGTTCGCAGCTGGCAAAAGTGTATAGCTAATGGTGGTGACTAAGTTGGAAAAGGCTGTTTTGTAGCTGAGAATTTGTAAGTTCCACACAGCCTTTAGTTTTACATAACACACACGTGCCAGAAGCTACATAAAACTCACTGTTTGCTTTTACTTACAGAAAGTAAAAGCATGAATATCTTCGTTTACTGTGGAACAAGCTTTTTTCAAAGTTTCTATGAAAAGAATTCCCACACTGAGACCACGTATATAACAAGCTGAATAATTTAACATTGTAACAATCCCAAAAAAGCTATTCCCAAAAATTTCAGTGGTGCACATGGAGTATAGATTTAACTGCATTCAAACAATCAACGTTTTCACAAAAATAATCTTCAAAACTCTACTCTTTACAATCAAAGAGTACTGTTATCTTCCAATTGCTAAGATTAAAGAAGTGAGACACTATCTCTGCTTTGTTTTCTTATTTAAACATTAGTGCTCATCATGCTACAACTATTTAACCTACAACACTTTGCTTTAGTTCAGACAAGAGGCTATCCTCAAAAGCTTCTTGATTATAATGAGAATGCTATGCTGTCTGAACATCAGCATCTACAAAAGCATTTGCAGAGCTGATGCCACAAATGATCATCCTACAAATACTGCTGCAGTAGTACACTAGAACTTGTAAGGATTACTCATTTAACTTTTCGAATTAAAACAAACATGCTTTCATTAACCTAAAGAATTAACCACAGGCTATGGTCTGCATTCTGTAACACTTATAAGCAACATCCAAAAAACTTGTTCCTATTAAAGCATATAAATATATTATTGTATATATTTATATATATATATAATAAGTATTCAATTCCTCTCCAATGATCAAGGTGCTTAACTGAAACACTATGACCAACATTTTAGCTTATAAAAGCATCAAGATCTCCCTCTAGAGGACTCATTTGAAAACAGTAAGTCACCTTCATTCCAAACCTTCCATTAAATAGTTACAGTAAAGGACTGCATTTTGCAACAGTTACACTAAGCAGTTACTGTTTGTATTGCAAAGTTGCAAACAGGCTCCCACCAGGATTCCTGGTTTTTAAAGAGCAAACACAGCGAGATGACCTCTGCCTGAAAGCTTTAAAAGAAGATATACAAGCAGAGTGGATTAGGCTTTCACTTTATTTAAACACACAAAACCAACAAAACAAAACAAACAAACAAAAATAAAAGCCATTAAGTTGAGGTTCTGAGGCAATTACAGGACAGTTCCTTGTATTTAGAATCACAGAATGGTTTGGGTAGTAAGAAACCTTAAAGCCCATCCAGTTCCATCCCCCTGCTGTGGGCTGGCTGCCCCCCACCAGCTCAGGCTGCCCAGGGCCCTATCCAGCCTGGCCTTGGGCACCTCCAGGGATGGGGCACCATCAGCTCTCTGGGCAGCAGCCCCACGGCATCACCATCCTCCCAATGAAAAATTTCTCCCTAACATCTGATCTAAATCTCCCCTCTTTTAGTTTAAAACCATTTCCCCTTGCCCTATCACTATCAACCAGTGTAAAAAGTTGATTTCTCTCCTGTTTAAAAGCTCCTTTTAAGCACTGGAAAGCCACAGTGAGGTCTCCCCAGGTCCTTCTCTTCTTCAGACTGAAGAAACCCACATCCCTCAACCTTCCTTCACAGGAGAGGTGCTGCAGCCCTCTTAGACAGGATTTCCAGGTATAAAATAAAATAAAATAAAATAAAATAAAACAAATAATAAAATAAATAAAATAATAAAATAAATAAAATAATAAAATAAATAAAATAATAAAATAAATAAAATAAAATAAATAAAATAAAATAAAATAAATAAAATAAATAAAATAAAATAAATAAAATAAAATAAATAAAATAAAATGGGGAAAGCAAGGGGAAAGCAAGGGGAAAGCAAGGGGAAAGCAAGGGGAAAGCAAGGGGAAAGGAAATCCTTTCCCATGGGATACTGGAAAAATCAACTGGGTCACCAAAAATCCATCCCCCCAGGAATAACACCCATAAACCTCAGCACTCTTGTAAAAGCAAGATATTTCTGTCATTCTAAGTCCTCCCACTCAGCTCTTGTTCCCAAAGAAAAAAAAACACCAGTCAGATGATTTGTACGTCGCTCCAAGAAAAACCTCACAGCACAGCACCTACACCTTAGCTAGCTCGTTAAACTTATCAACAGCCAATTCACAGCGAGCTGAGCTAACAAGGAAAATGACGCTTCCGCAGAGCTTTCATATTTTCTTCAACTATTAAGCCAAGGAGCCCGAGCACCGCACGCACACAGCGCTGGCCCGTGAGCACCCCGTTCCCACACGGGCGGCACAGTCAGGACGGCACAGTCGCCTCACCCCTCTCCCCAGCCCTCCCAGGCTCGCCGCCCCAGCCCGCAGCCGCCCCTCACCCGCCACCACCTGAGAGGCGCCGGAAGTCGCTCCGCTGCGACAGCCCCTCTTTAAAATGGCGCCGGGTGGAAACCAGCACCGCCACACGTCGCCCCCTCAACTCCTGCCGGGACAGCGCGGTGTGACGAAAGAGCTCGGATTGCGACTCGTTGGGTGCTCACGAGGGCCTCTTTCGATGCGAGCCCTCCTTGGGAGTGCGGGGCGAACGCTGATTGTTACGGGGGAACTGGAGGTGCGGAACGATGGTTCCGCGCAGCTCGCGTTCCCCACCCGGAGCAGGGCACAGAGCGCCGGGCGCGGTGATGCAATGGCTGTGACAGCAGAGCGCTGAGCGGGTGAGCAGTGGGGCCGCGTGGAGCCGGGCGCGCAGAGATCAGGGCCAAGGGCAGCAGAGGGGCCGCCCAGCGGGCACCGCTCCGGGCTTCACCTCCTGCGGGCGAGCGGTGCTGCAGGGTCTCTGTTTGGCGGCCCTTTCCTGGGAAGCGGTGGCTGGGAGATGGGTGGGGGCTCAAATGGGACGGAGCGCTGACAAGCTAGGATGTTGCACTGTCATCTCAGGGACTCGTCTTGCACACTTTCACTGTGATTTCACACGTCAATTGATGATCAGTACGACTGCGATGACGGTTCCGTAAAACACATTGTGGTTGCAGTGCTTCCCGAGGCACGTTTCCATTGATGTCTACATCCATGCTGTGTGCTTTAATTTATCTTTTCATTTTTTGCTTTCTCAACTTACAGAGTCAGTCCATTCTCAAGCTCCCATCTATGATTTTTTTCCTTTGACTATGTTTAGGGAAAGTACGTGATGTCTTTGAGCTTTCTTTCCTTTTCTGACAGCTTTCCTTACGTAATACATTTTTTAACATGCGCTTCGCCAAATTGTAGAATATCCTGTTTACGAGGCTGGATAGTAACAGGACAAGGGGGAATGGTTTCAAAGTAAGGCAGGGGAGGTTTAGATTAAATATGAGGAAGTTTTTCACACAGGGTGGTGACGCACTGGAACAGGTTGCCCAAGGAGGTTGTGGATGTGGCTCTTGGCAGCCTGGTCTGGTGGTTGGTGACCCTGCACATATCATGTAGTTTCAACCCCCTGCTCATTGTGGTCCTTTCCAACCCAGGCCATTCTGTGATTCTATGAATATCCAGTTGTTTCTTTTTTTTTTTTTTTTAAGGTCAGAATTGCATTTATGTATTTCAAAAGCTGGTAAAGACCCATGTCCCAGATCACTGAATGCCTGGCTTGAGTTCCACCAGCAAAGAAGGGCAATACTGATGCAACTGGAAATAAGTTCTCAGTAGCATTCAATTTCTTCTCTATTTCCATCATATTTTTACTCAGCTTATTTCCATCTTATTAAGGAGTCTTTCTGTTTTATGATTCTCTCATTTCTGCACTCAGTCTCAGCCATGATATTTCAGCCTTTCTGAAAGGAGGCAATCCATCAGTAGGTACATTAAAGAATTAAGGTAAAACAATTTGTTTTTACACCAAAGAATAAATCTTGTTTACATTTTCCTATTTTGCAAAATTTGAAAACTGCAGATTTCCTACAGAAAGACTGTGTGCCAACTTTCATTAAGTGTTTTCTAATGTGAATTTACCCCTATACTTTCTTTTCCAGTTAAGTATCTCATGCTCACAAAAAAGAGGAAAACGCTATTATTGAGAGAAAAGAATGTAAGTAAATTGTAGGCTTATGTCATTTAATTACTTAACATCTATTATACTGCCTCTTTAACACTGTCAAACTACAGATAATCAAACTTGAAGGGATGTAAATTAAGAATCTAAGGATCACACATATTACATTAGTAGTCACTTTTATTTTAGTCCATTCTGTAATGTAAGTATGGTGTCAGCATTAATAGACTAAAATAGAAAGTAATGCATTTCTCAGTCTTTTCAGATTATTCAGCTGAAATCTGGGAATATTACAGCTGTCTAACAAAGCCTTAATGAAAGATATGTTTAGTTAATGATAGATATGGAGGACTTGATAAATTAAAAACAAAAGTTTTCTAGGCAAGTTTTTTTTGGGGGGGAAGAGGGAGGGGGAGGGTTAAAACAGTGGCAGTTCAAATATGCTATATAAATATATCCAAGGTTGTGATTAGACTGATTATTTTGTGGAAGGAATGCTTTCAAATTGTGATTAATAGCTAATTCAACTATTAGGTGCTTTTTTCATTTTTAATTCTGGGAGAAGGATCCTTAGGTCCCTTCCAGCCCAAGCCTTTCTATGATATGATTCAATAATATACCTGGGAGGCTGTCTGGAATTGTTTGATCTGAATCTATATCACTCTTATGAAAACAAGCAAACAAAGAAAAAACCCAGCACTGCTCACTTTAAAGCTGATCAGAGGTGACAATCTTCTCCACAAACGCATCTCCTACAACCGTGTCTGAACTTTCAGCTAAGAAAGCTATTTCTGTTTGAATATCCATAATCCTCTGAAAGGCAGCAGGATTATACATAGCATGGAACTTGTCCTTCATGGACTAAAGTGTGGCCATGGTATGACAGAAAATGCCTGGAGTTAATTATTTTCCCAACACACTTGTCTTTTAAATTCATGAACTTTCCTTTTTCATTACTACATTTGTCACTGTCCCATCTTGTTATAGTCTAGGTAAAATAGGAATCGATTATGATTCAGATGACATCACTCTCCTCAAGAGAAGAAAACATGCAACAGCTTGAATGATTGCATCAGCAACTGCATCCAGTAATGCAGCACTTTGCCACACTAGCCAAGTTGCATTTATATTTTCCCTCAGTGCATTTTTGTCATTAGTATCTGCACTACTATGTCACTTTATCTGCCCTAGGTTTTATCAAGATAACATTGCAAGTGCAGCTGTTGTTCACATAGATGGTGTCTTCCTTACCTTTTAACACTGATTTTCTTGAATATAAATACGACAAAATCAGAATCATAATGGTTTTAAAACTTTCTTATCATATCCAGTAAATGTTTGTCTATTTACAAGTATTTAAATAGGATGATGCTTTGATTTTTACTATAAAAAAAGCCTTAGCACTTAGGTACATCTGTAGACCTCATCGTTCTTTGCAGAAAGCTACTGGGCTTGAACAATTTCTTAAAATAAGAAGTTCTGCCTCTGCAGTTGAATTTTTTTTTTTTCTACTCATGGCAGGCTGATAATAGCTTTGCCAAATTTCAAACAGCAATAGAAGTCTATTTTCAGATTGGAATACTTAAAGACAATTTATCAAGTAATTTTGAAAAAAAAAAAAAAGAGGAAGAAATGTCCAGAGGAGCAAAAGTTGCTGTGCCAGGATTATTGTAGGCATGTATAGTAAAGTAGGCTTAATTCCATGCAGAGCATATTACAGGAGTTTCCACTGTTGTAAATCACTAAGAGGTAAACAATGTATTCACTAAAATTAAGTACAAACCTGCTTGCAACATATTTCAGATTATAACTGCAGAGACAAAGAACAAAATGCTTCTGATTTGGAGTGAAAATAACCTTCCCAATTTAAATGCATTTGAAAACAAAAAATTGCTTAACAGTTTAACAGCATTACTTAACTTTCTGTGTTGGTATACTGTGCAGCTGTAGTTTTCCAGACTCTTGGTTGCTGTTAATTTTAAAAAAGTGCTAAGAAACTATCACAGTAAGTTATTACTAATATGTGCAATATCATGGGTTTTAGCGTGGGAGAGAAGCCTACTTACAGAAGTGACAACACTGTGCTAGGAAGTTTCTGTGATCAAGGTGTATGTTGGACATAAAGAAGACTGCTGGGTTGTTATTCTCAGATTCAGCTTTCTCCCAGTGTTGTTTTGCAGCAGTTCATAAGATGAACAAATAGTTCATTCCACTTCAGATTATTGCTTACCTATAGATTGATTCTTCCACAAGAAGCAACATTTCCCACTGAGCATTTGTGTGTTTCTTTAACCTCTGGAGGAGAGCAGACCTTTCTAACCTATATCTTTGTATGAGTTTAAATACTATATTGCATATATTAAGACAAAATTCCATATAACACAGAAAATTCTATTGAAAATTCAGCTTCTGTGACACAAATGTGACAAGGTACCAAATAGTACAAATACATTAAGCAGTCATGAATCTCTTCTAGCTGATCAGAGATGCTCTGAATCATAGATGTATTTAATTACTTTGTCACTATTTTGACAATGCATTCTAGTGTTAGATGAGATACTTAGAGAAACAACACTGTAATCATCTGTACATTTATTTGCTGCTCAATGTCAGTCCTTTTTGTGCATGAAACTAAATTAAATGTTCTAAGCTTGTTTGCTCTTTGAAGTTCACTATGTTGAAGTCTTTACATTTATCCATCTATTACCAATAGCATTAAATTTGTGGTCAGTGGAATTCTTTGCTCTTATTCTATTCGCCTGATCTTCAAGGTAAACATGAAAGAATAAAACGCTTTTTTTTACCCTACAGTTCTTCTGGCTTTGCTGCTGCTTTCAATAACCAAGCCAAAAAACTGGAAGTCTTTGGATTTAATTGAATTGTAAATAAAAACATCATTTACAGTCCAGCAAAATGGCTGATATCCCGAACTGTGATTTGAAATCCTTGAGTCCGCTTCAGCTGTTTGAGAAAGTAACTGAACAAGGAGAGAAAGTCAGAGCACTGAAAGCAGGAAAGGCACCAAAGGTATTTCCATTCCATGTGTGGAACCAGTCATTTTTCATGTCTTCAGGAGTACTGAAGAATATAATTGTTCTGAGATCTTATTTATAATTGCATTAAGAAAAAAATTCTTTGTTTAAAAATACTTATGTCCACTTTGTGGTCATACCTCAAACAAAATAGTTATTAATAAGAGCAAAGCTGTTATTCCTGAAGTAAGAACAGAGTGCTGTAGATTTAGACTCTGCTTCCACCAGTTGCTGTGATCTAAGGTACTTGGTTTTCAGGTGAAGTTGATATCATTTTCTTTCTGTCCTGTTATTAGTTCTCTGTTTAAAAAAAAATATATATATATATATCTTTCTCCATACATTATTGTACAGATTAGCAAGTATGTCTTCCCGTAGCTGTTTCTGCTTAATCTTCCTGAAGTGATTTAGTATTTTGCCATTAATTTCCAGTTCCCTGTGCAATCATCACTATGTTGGCAGAGTCCAGTTTTAATATGTTCTCTCTTCATGGATTACGTGAGGAAGTAAGCCTTGAAAACTAAGCATTAGTTTTAAAACCTCAATGTATTTATTGCTTACATGACATATTATGTTAGCTTTGTATTAAAAGGGTCATAACAATGGAGTTTATAAAGACCTTCATCTTATGATTTGTCTTCAAGTCTGTAAACGAATTGTTAACAATTGAGTTACTTTAAGTCAAGCCACTAAATGAACATTGTAAAGTAAATTAGGTAATATTTTATGTTATATCTGTGTATCTCTTTGTCTGTTTAAAACATTAGTCTTGTTAGAACTCTAGAAAAACAGGCAAGCATTTTTTTCCTCATGCACAAATAGAAAAGAGGGACAGATACTTTAAATACCTTGCCAGTGATAATGAGCTGAATTCTTCTGATTAGAAAACTGTTGCTTTCTATTTGCTTTAATTTTACCATTGGCAGAGATGCTGCAAACATAAAGGCTTAGAGCTCATGAATAATGCCCTTCAAGTCAAAGCATGGATCTAAATTTTGAAGGACTGAGACATTCTTACAATTGTTTATCTCAATTATGTCAAATCAAACAGCTGTTTTTCTCTTTGTTCAGGATGAAATAGACGCAGCAGTGAGAATGCTGTTGTCATTAAAGCTGTCATATAAAACAACAACAGGACAAGATTATCAGGCAGGCTTGCCTCCAAAAGATCATGCATTAATAAACAATGGTACAACTAAAGAAGAGGATGAAGATCTTGTGGATCCCTGGAATGTGCAGACATCAAATGCTAAAGGCGTGGATTATGACAAACTCATAGGTACAACTCCTTGCTAATGCTAAGAGATTTATGTGAAGTGATTGTAATGACCACAAAAAAACAGCAATGGATCACAAATCCTGATCAGCAGAATTAAGTAACATTTAATTTGTGTCTGATGTTAGCATTCACATCTAAAGAATTTACTATAGGAGTTTGAAGTGTCCAAGGCAAGGATTTCTCACTGAGGATTTAAATACATTTCAGTTGGAAATAAGTTTTGTTCAATTTGTTTTTAGCATAAGAACTATTATTAGAAGTTATGTTAATGCAGATATTGTGAATGAGTATGTTTATCATCAGTATTTGTGATACTGAACAGCTAAAGCCTACAACATTCTGGCCAGGTTGTAGAATTCTTCTGTATTTGATTTGACTTCTGCATTAGGGAGGGCAGAAGTGATCCAGAGCTAATGCAGAAGTCTCTAAGGATAATGATAGCTTTACAAGACATGCTGTCAAACAGCCAAGTGCTGTCTGGGACAGAAAAGATGCAGCTTATGCTTAAAAAAACATAAATGGAAATAGTAGTTGTATTCTATAAAGCAGGGGATATAGCTGCCACTGACCAGTTTTCAGATCACCTAAGAAAGGTATTATTTATTATTCAGTACTAAAAAAGAAATAGCTTACCTTTTCCCAAGGATAAGGGCTTGCTAGAAAACTTCCAAAAGAGACAATCTCTAAGTAGAGATGCTTCCTCTTGGACTGCCAGCTTTTAAATGAGGTTAGGGAGGGGTGGACCCAGGGTCTACTCCATCCAGTCTCACAGGTGAATTGCTTGCACCTGTGCTCCCAGGGCTGGCCATGCTCCTTCACCAGGTGCTCAATCTGTGACCTAACAGTTCCCATACAGTAATGGAAAATATTTTAGAGATGTAACAAAACTTCCAAAGCTCTGTAATTTAAAAAATGTGGCTTTAGTTTATTTCCTTACTTGTCTTATAGTTTATTTTTAAAGTTTGAGTCCATAACATTGAAATAGGCAAGAAAACTGTTTCATTAATTTTAACTAATTTTGCCCTCTTTTAAGTGAAATAGTTGTCAATCTTCAATATATATTTAGTACCTCAATGAAAAGTCTTAAACAGTTGTATGTTGCTGACTTGAGAAACAAGCGGACAAGAGAGTATACACCTTCATGTGTCAGCAGTTATGTACTTACATTTGGGAGCTTAGTTGCAGCATTATTTTAACTGAGTGTGATTTTATTGAAAGATCCTATCAGATGTATGTGTCTATTGGCTTAGTCCGTAGAAAGCCATAGGAGAAAGGAAAAGCTGAAAAGGGAGAAACGTGCAAAGAAAAATACATGTCAGGAGGGGAAGAAGAAGAAAGATGATTGTTGGATTCTAGAAAGAGATCTCATTTCTTGTGTAGGAGATATGGAGAAGGCCTTTTTTGTTTTCCTGGAGGAAGTTCTAACTCTTGTATTCTATTCTTCCCAATTTTCTGCTTCTGTTGCCACAATCTCAGTATCTTTCAAAGTGACTAGCATGACTTCACTGTAAATTAATTATCTAAAGAAATCCTATTCTTTTACCTGACAGCAGCTTCCTTTTCTAGTAACTGTTGTGTATGTGTGTGTGTAGGTACGTGTGTCCTTTTGACCTACTCTACAATGGAGAGTTAGGATAGTTCTTCCCTATTTGCATTGCTAACAGATTGGGGAATTTGATGGATGAGTCATTTAACTTTGATTCTAAGTTATGCATTGAAAACTTTTCATAGAAGAAAGGTAGCCACTCTGGGAAGTGAAACAGTTACTACTTGCTATCAATAAACTTATTCCTCATCTTTTTAAAAATAATAATTAGAATATTGCCCAAGAGGTTGGTATAACATTATAAATATAACTCAAAATAAAGGAAATATTTGTGTCACCTACAATCTGTTTATATATTATTTACATACTAGTTGTACTCTATAAAGTTGCCAGTATGTTTATTTTTCTTCAAACATAGAAGAAATGAACATGCTAAAAGCATGGTGTAATTGAAAGGAGCGTTATTCTCAAATACTTTTCCTGGATGTGCACTTATGCACCAGAACAGATATTCTGGGAAGAAAGATTCTGTTAGAATGTTCACTGTCTGCTTGTCTAGTCCAGACTTCATCAGTTGTGAGACTTCATCAGGTGGGAGATGGTGCAAATAGCTATACTGAAGATGAGTTAAACAGTGTAGCGTATCCATTGTTCTCACTTTTTCTACTAGGCTAATCATATCATCATAGAAGGCTATTAAGTTGGAATGACATTCCCATTCATAAATCCATACTGACTTCTCCCAGTCACTTTCATGTCTTTAATAAAATTTGAATGATTATTTGCTTCATCATGTGCTCAGAGATTGAGGTGTGACTGCCTGGCCTCTAATATCACATTTACTTCTTCTTGCCCTTCTTCAAAATGGGAGAGGTATTTGCTTTCTTCCATTCCACGGGCACCTCTCCCAGTTTCCATGGCTGTTCAGAGATTATCAAGACTAGGTTGGTCAGAAAGTTACTGTAATAACAAATAGTAGATTATTAGTTTTCTGCATGCATAGAGAACCTGGCAAAGAGGAAAAGGTACACAGTACGCTTTCAGCAAATGCAAATATACTTTTCAAAATGGCAGCATTCAGGATTTCTTATGTACAGCAAGAGTAAAGCTGTCTTTTCATAAAAGCTAGAATATTAAAGATCAAAAGCATGCTAGGAATTTTTTAAAAGCTTGTCGGAGAGTGGAGACTGTGTCCTTGTTAGAAACTGTTCAGGAATACAGATTCTCTCTGGATAGAGAATCTAAGAAGGTATTAAATTTCTTCATTAGAGGAAACAGGTGGGCAAAAATTATGCAGTTTCCTTAGCAAGGAAGATGAAGACGGAGAAAAGGGAGTCATGCAGACTCTGAATGTTTAATACAGTTACTTAGGCATTTTTAGAGAGCTTTCAATCAGGTTTCACACTACACAAATATTTCTAAGGTGGCTAGCCCCAGCTGGTGTCAGTATTCTCATGATTTTTGTATCACAGAACCACAGAAATGTGGAGGTTGGTAGAGACCTCTGGGTCCATCCTATCTAGTCCAACCCCACTGCTCAAAAAGGGACAGCCAGAGCTGGATGCCCAGGATCACATTTGTATGGCTTTTGAAGATCTCCAAGGTAGAAGACTCCATTACAGCTCTTTCTAGAAGAGCAGCCTCTTGACTGTTCTGCTGAGTTAAAAATTTCCATGTTCATTTGCTCTCTAGTTAGCATTCATCCAAATTATGATTATTTTGGCATTTTTACTGCATTTTATTTGCTAGGAATAAATTAATTCAGTAATTCAGAACTGCTTAGAACAATCAAATGTGGTGATGCTCAGAAAACATGGATTACAGTGGTGTAGTACTGCTCTAGTAGGAAGTTGCAGACGGTGGAAAGACATTTCAGTTAATTACTGTATCACAACAGGAAGATTTTTTTATTTTTTAATAGATAGATATAGGTATTACATACGTATAAAATGTACTTATGTATCCATTTTGCTCCCTTGAATAATTTGTCAATCACAATAAGATATTCTGATGCTCAATAGAGTAGAATAGTAGCAAAGATTAGATTCTTCTCTAGATTTCTCTGAGTGGGTCAAAATCATGAAGAATAAATGTATTCATTAGGGTCCAAGAATTGGGATCAGAGTATAGTAAGCTTTACTGAAGAAATAAGATATTTTCCCCAGTTTCATCTGCAAAAAGGAAGAAATGCTGCTACTTCAGTCCGATAAAATCTTTCTTAAATTACTTCAATTGAAAAAGTTTTATTTTAATCAGCTGATTTCCTAAACCACCTACTAATAAGTCTTACGTGATTGCAATGAAGAGAATTGTGCATTACCTTTTCAAGCCTCTTGAGGGGAGCAGTATCCATAATCATGTTGATACAAATGGGGAATAAAGTTTGGAGAAGAGCATTTGGGATTGAAAAGTGGAAAACGTGATTGGAGGGCTGAAAATGTAAACGTCAAGAAAGGAACATTAAGTTCCTTTCAGCCATTTTTATCCTCTGATGTACAAAGGCCAATTTATTGATCTAATTACGTTTCCCTGAATAATAGTTCTGCTGTAACAAAAACAATTATAATCAATCATGGATGGAGCAAAACAGGGATGTAGTGATTAGACTGGGCCTACTAGCATAGAGTTAATTTCAAGGACTACTGTTGGGACTTAAGGGAAAAATAAGGAAAATTTAGCCATTTTACTTTTTACCTGAGATGTAAAGATGTTCTTTTTCAGTTAGGCTGCATAGATTAATGAAAGATCTGTTTTGGCTATGCTAATTTTTTATTTCTTTTTTTTTTTAACGTTATTATTTTAGTTCGGTTTGGCAGCACTAAAATTGATACAGATCTGATCAATCGAATAGAAAGAGCTACTGGGCAAAAACCTCACCGATTTCTACGTAGAGGAATCTTTTTTTCTCACAGGTGAGACTTTCTCATTAGAATTCAAAAATGTCAAATTATTAAGACTTTCTCTAAGCATTATTGGGAGAAACCTGTGACAAGCAAAAGGCCGTGTTCATTTACACCAGGTAAACAACTGTAATTTGCAATTAGCAACTACTCCAGGTCTACTCTGTCAACATTTGAAACACTTTGTTCTTTTTGGGTACATGCATCAATTTTTTTATGCCATCACTAATCCCAAATAGAAAGAGAAATGTGCAGGGAATCTTTGCTTTGTACAGGTTCCATTTTGACCCAGGATGTTAATGGATGGATGGAGAAATTGGCCTAGCAAAGAATACCAGGGCTCATATGCTGCAAAACTCTGCTTATTTGAGCAAGGGTTCGCATGGCCTGTGGATCTGTACATCCATACTGTCACATAAAAAAGGTTCAGGGAGTAATATTAAACACCAGCCTGCAAGTTCTGTATGGTTTATTTGTTAACATACATGGACTTTTGGCCTAAAGCAACTAGCACTTTTCAGATAAGTTCAGTCAAGTTTTTTCTATTTGTTTTTTTTATGGCTTTCTTGTTTTTGGTTTTTTTTTCAGAGATATGGACCAAATTCTTCATGCTTATGAAAATAAGAAGCCCTTTTACCTTTATACTGGCAGAGGACCATCCTCTCAGGCAATGCACGTTGGTCATCTTATCCCATTTTTATTCACAAAGTAAGCTATTTCTATTGTTAGTATTACTCAAAAACATTTTTTTCCTGAGGAAATCTTGACTGCTGTCTATGGAAATGCCAAAATGATACATTACAATTTGTTCTGTTTGTCTGAGATAAATATTGATGAATTTAATCCATACATCATTAAAATAACCCAATCCCTGTATCACTATGAAGCCTTCTTCTTTGCACCTGTGCCTCTATAGCAGTTCCTAGAACTTTTGCTTCTCTTAAGCCAAGTTTGTAATGAAACTCAACATGGTTAGTTAGGTTGTGTCTGCAGTAGAAGCAGGACACAAAAATATTGAACTCTGAGCCAAAAAATCTCTAAATTCTACTCCCATTGCAAATGATTACATATGTACAGGAAACAGTGAGTGAGTCTTTTTTCCAGGTAATAAAATGTTTATGTTTGCTAACATCAAGTTAAGTAACTGCATATGGTGCAATCCTTTGTGTGTCCTTCTGTTTAAAATGTATAAAAATACTTATAGATGTCTAGCAAAAATGTCTTTATTTCTACTTATTCTAAAATAAAATCTCCCTGCTTTTATTAGGTGGCTGCAAGAAGCATTTGATGTTCCTTTAGTTATACAGTTAACTGATGATGAGAAGTACCTTTGGAAGGACATGACAACTGAGAAAGCATATGAATATGCTAAAGAAAATGCAAGAGATATTATTGCATGTGGTTTTGATGTCAATAAAACCTTTATTTTTTCTGATTTAGACTATTTGGGGTAAGTTGAAATTTATTTAGAGCACTGAAATCAAAAACATATTTGCATTTTCTCTCCAACTTGAATAGCCAGCAGTGTGTTTCTTTTAATAAGCGTGTGTAGGTTTGAAAACTTCAATAGAAGTTTTACAACACTTAAAGTAGAATTGTTGATTTTTATGCTATTCAACATCTTATATACATACTCTTGTCATTCTCCTGTATAATAAATGTATGAACAAATTCTTGCGTACACAGCGTTTAAATTTAAATTACAAGAAATATATTAAAGCTGCTAAAAGGTAAAAGTACTAAAACCACCAAGAAGCCTCCAGGCTGACTTAGGGTGGCATCAAAGTCTTTAAGATGTATTTATAGTTCAACCGCATTAGCTAAAAGCATTTCACAAGTGATACAAACAATTAGTTTAATACTTTATGAAAAAATAGCATTTCAACTGAGTAAAGTTTAAGGAAGATCTAAGAGAGAGAAACTTCTACTGGAGTTGCCTTCTCAGAAGGAGGGAAAAAATTGGCAAAGTTCAGAACTGAAGTTTTGGTTTTTGTTCTTCTATAAGAGCTGATAAGCTTCTGAAAATAGCTGGGTGAGAGGGTGTTCATTTTAGAGAAGAACTGTACCTCCCAGACTGTGGGCCCTATAAGACAGTTTTTCCTACTCCTCTGACTTTCCTGCCTTAAAGATAGGTTAACACAGATATACCTTGTGAGTGAATAAGGGCAAGTTAGACCTGCCAATTCTATTGTTTCACTTTTCCAGTAAAAGTAAAAAAAAACAGAGAAGATGCTGAGTTATATTCATTTGGAAAAGCTGCTGATGTATTTGGTGATCGTGGAAGACAGGGAACTTAGCTCTGAGCTACTATTGCTTTAGTGAACCACTTGGATACCAAGCAACACAGAAAATGTGATCTATTCAGTTTGTCTGAGTTCACAGAATGGCATAAAGAGAATTCACTTCAGACTCCATAAGGCATAGTTTCCAAATCAAAATATTTCTGGTTTTAAATAATTAAATCTGATTTTTAAAAAGTATTGTTTTCAGTAAATATTTTGGGGAAAAAACAGTAAAATTTTCCAGGCAAATAAAAAGTTGTTTTTAGTGTCCTCTAATAGTCCTCTAATTATCATCTCAGTGAACCACAAAAAGACCAAACTAGTGCTTTCAGAGATTTAATCCTGCAAGCTTTGTGACATTCTCAGCTTTTGGAATGAAAACTTCTGTCCCGCTCTTGCCTTCTCATGTTATTTTTCCACTTTCTTTCTCACAGGTCAAGTACAGGATTCTACAAGAATATCATCAAAGTTCAGAAGCATGTTACGTTTAACCAAGTGAAAGGGATCTTTGGCTTTACCGACAGTGATTGTATCGGTAGGAAATAATAGTTTACTGGAAATGATCCTTGCTTTCTATCTTGCTATTTAAAGTAACTATTCAGAGACTGGTATGTGCCACTCAGGAAACAGATGGGAACAACAAGATCCATGTTTCTAATCTGATTCTAGAAGGATGTTATTGTAGTTTCTTCAGTGTAGAAAATACTTGACTATGACATTTCTAAGTTGTAGCATTACTAACAACAAAGTATAAAACAGAGAAGTTGAAATGACCAGGATAGTGAACCATTCCTGATTTTTCTAACTATTTAGCTATAGTCAATTATATACTTATACTGCAAAACGGTATAGAAAAAACCTACATTAATACACACACGTACATACATGAGAAAAGATAAGGAGTGCTCAAAAGCCTAATTATCATAGTGCTAGATAGTTCTTTCTTCCATTTGCTTTACTACCATTGTAGGTTTCTGTCTCATTGGAGAAGACTGAGAGAGGATCTCATCACTGTTTACAAATATCTAAAATGTGGGAACTCAAATGGATGAGTAGGCTCTTTGCAGTTGCATGCAGCAACATGACATGGGGCAGCAGGTGAAAATGTCTTTGCAAACTTCTCTATCATATCCAAACTTCTTGTTTTCTAGGGAAAATCAGCTTTCCTGCTATTCAAGCTGCTCCATCCTTCAGTTCATCATTTCCACAGATCTTCAATGGCAAGGAGAACATTCAGTGTCTTATCCCATGTGCTATTGATCAAGTAAGAAAATCATATTTCTTAATTTCTTTTTATTGGATTTGTTTGTGTAATTTACTGTTTAGGCATCATGGTGGCATGTCAAAATGTGTGTGAAACATTCCTGCAAGCATCTTTTTCAGATGGGAGCTGGAAGAGATATAAGAACGTTCTGCTGTGTCCTGACAAAGATGAAGGCTTAGCTTCAAAATCACGTGTTCATGTGTTACTCATTTTTTCCAGTGTTGAATCTGACTTGATCTTCAAAGTCAGCTGATATCTATGAAAGCAAAGACAGTAAAATCTTTAGTTATGCAGAAGTGTACTGACATGGGGGTAGAAAGAAACTTCTAGCCATCTCCATGGCAACTAGGGCAAAAGATAGCAAACCATAACTTGCATTGCAGGAGATTTATTCTGTACCCTGGGGGAAAACCTTCTATCAGAAAGGATAAAGAAGCATTGGAATAATTTGTGAGAAAGGCTGCTGAACCTCAGCTACAAGTGACCATGCAGAGCAGCTGAGGAACATCAGTTACAAATAATAGTGGCAGCATCTTTAAATAAATATTGTTTCTAGGAATCCGATTTTGCACTGTCTGAATCTTTAGCTCTTTTAGTCACAGGAACAGCCACTGGAAGATTATTTAAATACATTTTTCAACCACAATGTTATGGAATAATATTTTTGCATTTGGTTCAAGTCACAGCACAGCAATAGCACAGCACTACCAGCTTGATCACTGATTTAGTTCAGGTCCTGTGCTTATTGTTAAAACACTCAGAAATTTTGCCACCTTAGAGGTATGCATCTCCAAATCCTTGTTAACCAAAAGAATCAGAGTGTACAGTGGAACTACAGAAATGAAAAAATAGGATTTTGTTTGTTTGTTGTTCTGGATGGACAGTATCAGCTATGGAACTTGAGGTGTTTTTTTTTTTTCTTGAGACCACCTGTTAAGGCATGAACTAGCCAACACTAACCAGCCTTTAAGCCACGTTTTTTAACTTTATTCTGAGCTTTTACTGATGATTGTTCTAGGATCCTTATTTTAGAATGACCCGAGATGTAGCACCTAGGATTGGCTATCCTAAACCAGCCTTACTGCACTCAGTCTTCTTCCCAGCCCTGCAAGGAGCACAAACAAAAATGAGCGCTAGTGATGTCAACTCCTCTGTCTTCCTCAATGATACACCCAAACAAATTAAGACAAAGGTAAGTATCTTCAAACTTTAAGCACACAAAGGTTTACAACAAATAGAAGTGGTGCTCCTCATGTTTACTTTTTAATGTTTTCTTTGAATGTGTCTGCATCCTTTTCCTATACATCTAATTGCAAAGCATCTTTAGGAATTGATAGTTACACAAATTTAGCTAAACTGTCAAATGTAATCTTTTGCCTTGCCAACTAAACTAATAGTATAAAAAATTAGCTAGAATTTGTTTCATTTTTGGTCTAGCTATGCAAGCTGTGGAATATGTATATACTCCGCAGTCATTAGAAGCTGACATCTAATGACTGCTTTTTACTTTCTTGCTTCAGTCTTGTTGCTCTGCCTTAACTTTTCTCAAATCACCCTTCAGCTTCTCCCTTAATAGAGGAGCTAGAGGACTGTGTTATACTTCTCTTTACATTATAGTAATCCATAATTTAGTAGAAATTATAAAATCATTGTGTTGTTTCAGATTAACAAGCATGCCTTCTCAGGAGGCAGAGACACTATTGAAGAGCACAGGAAGTATGGAGGTAACTGTGATGTTGATGTGTCTTTTATGTACCTGACTTTCTTCCTTGAAGATGATGACAAGCTTGAACAACTGAAACAAGTAAGTAGCCAAGCTGAAAATATTCTTCATTCCTTTCCTTGAGGACAAATATATTTAGTTAATAGTACCCACGTCCTATTGGTTTATCAGCTTTCTCCTGCAGGAGCAGTAGCAAGAAAGGCAATAGCTACAGATTCTTTTCTAACCTTTTACTCCTTCCCAGACAAGGACAGGGTTGGATAGTTACTAGTAATTATTTTGCAAACTATTGCAAATTCCTTCCCTATGGAAATCTGGAGTATGTTTGAAATACTTACTAATTTTCCATTATGCTCCAGCCACTGAAATATTTTGTATACAGTTCTTGCTACCAAGAGCACAAAGACTAGTCCACAGCCAGCAGCTTATCATAGAATCATTAAGATTGGAAAAAACCTCTAAGCTCATCAAGTGTAACAGTCCACCCATCACCATTACTGCACTGCTGCCTCAGAATCAGATTAGAGTACATGAAGTCACTGCTTATAGCAGCATTGGTGGAGCTGTTTCAGTTATGGTACCATAACTTTCAGAACTGCATACTCAAAGCAACAGTGTCTTTAAAAAAATAAAAATTAGAACTGAGATTAAAACAGTTTGTTCTTATTGAAGTATTTTTCTTGAATTACAAATGGATGAGAAGGGAGAAGTAAGATTATCACATTTATTGCCATTTCAAATCGTAGTTGAACTGCCATAGCCATGTTTTCTAACCAGTGCTAAACTCCGCTGTTTAGTGAAAATATTTTCAGGAGCAGAGCAGTTGCACAGATTACCAACTCTTTATATAGACAGCTAAGTTAGACAGAGGTTGGGGTGTGCTGTAAAAAGCTTACTCTGATCACATCTCATACTTTACCCTAACTAAATGAGAGAACAGTGAAAATCTGAGCTTCTTATTGCAAAAAGCTGGGGGGAGTTGTTTTTTGTTGTTGTTGTTGTTTTTTTAATGAGATGTTAAGGAGAAAAATATGCGATTTCCTGCAAATAATTACATCGCTTTGCAATTCAATTTATTATATATAGATAGTCATACATGAAAATACCCAGCTGACACATTCTTTTAAAAGTCAATAAAAAATTCTAACAAGGTGGGTTTTCAGTGATACCACATTATTTCTAAGACATGTGCTCATTTTTAAGCCCTGGCTAGGCTTTTTAAGAAATACTTATCACTAGGTCTTTTTCTGTTTAGCACCATTTTTAGCAAGTAACATTTTCTTGACAGGCATACACAAGTGGGGAATTGCTCACAGGGGAGCTGAAGAAGGTGCTTATTGAAACATTGCAGCCCCTGATAGCAGCTCATCAAGAGAGACGGAAGCAGATCACAGATGAAGTAGTGAAGCAATTCATGACTCCGCGGAAGCTAGCTTTTGAATTTTGAAGAAATGCTTATGTAACTCATCACTCAGTTAATCGAAATTGAGTAGTTGTTGTCTTCTGCTGTATATTATCACTCCCTAGTTATAAACAGCCTGCACTCAGTGCTTTATAAATATTGCTCTTAATGAGCTACTTATAAGGAGTATCAGAGTACGGGAAAAGTTTAAAATAGAGTTTAAAATAGGAGACTTGTATCTATTTAAAATCAAAGTATGTTAATTAAGGCATCAAATCTGTACAAGATATAATTACCTAATCTAACAGAGAAGCATGTCTGTCAGCCCAAGACTGTATTTTATTGTATTTCATGTTGAAAATATAAATAAAATTGCCATTTTGATTATAAAGTCTAATTTGCAAATTGTTTTAGAAATATTGGTTAACAATCATGCCTCAACCTAATAGCTGGTAGTCTCCATTGTGTTTCACGTCACATGGTTTACTGGCCAATGCGTCCTTTGGGGCTACTGGGAACATGCTGCACACACAAAGTGAGTGTTACATAGCAAATCACAAGGTGTCTTGGGCCTGGGATCTGTGCAGAAGAAATGGAGATCTATGAATTGTACACAAGAAAAAGAAAACCAGCCTGATTTTCTTACTGCCTTCCTTTTTGAGCTGTCAAAAAGTTGCAGAAATTTCACTCCTTTTTTTGCATCTGTTCAACCAGTCTCAGTGCCTCTGAAGGCTATTGTTAAGTTATAAACTTTCTTGATATTCTCAGGTGGAAGAGATTAGAGAAATGCAAATTTTAGTTTCAAGTTATGAAAAATACTAAATGTTGGATCATACAGTGAATACAAATTTCCTCCTGGACACAGGGATACTTGTAGTGTTTTACTGCACTATGTAATTTAAAGATACACTTTCTCACCAAAATACACTTTTTGTTAAAAAACATCATGTAATATTTCATTTTTCCTTACTTAAAAAGAACTGTAATATCTTTGCTGTGATTGATGGGAAAAAAATCATGATTCACTAATTTAGTATGTCTAATTCTGAACACACAGTCAGATCAGTCTTCTATTCATACAGAAAAAGCAGTTGCTAGCCCAGACGTGGCCTTATCTAAGTCAAATAAAATTACCTTTGATAACACTGGTGGGTATTGATATATGGTATTTGCAAATCATTTAAAACATAAGGAAGGCAATGAAATGGGGTGTGAAATATTTAAACTTTAACAGGTTTTCTTGTGCAGGTCAAAAAAAAAAAAAACCTCCACCCACCTGTTGTCTGTGAACCTTTGAAGTCAGCTGATGGCACTTGAGTTAAAGGAGAAGTTACAAGGGTAAAAGTTCTTACTGGTTTCAAGTGACCTTGCATCAGCCTGGTAGCACGTTTGAACTATTTGCTCTGCCTGGAGCTTCTCCCTTCCCACCTGTAGTAGTTCTGTAACATCATATAAACAACCTTTACAGTAGTGACCTGCATTTCTGAGATGTAAATGTATGCGTGCCAAGCTGTGTATGAAGTAACCCTGTTTTTGTTATATTTATGCAAGGGACTGAAGGAAGAGCAAAGCAAGTTTAGTCTTAGAATCATCACAGAATGGCTTAGGTTGGAAGGGACCTTAAAGATCATCCAGTTCCAACCCCCTGCCTGGGCTGTTTGCCAGCCACCAGATCAGGCTGTCCCATACCCATCCAACACAGCATTGAATGTCTCTAGAGACACTACCCACTTCTCTGGGCAGGCTGTGCCAGTGCCATGCTCCCTCTGAATAAAGAATTTCCATCTAATATCTAACTTAAATCTCCCCATTCCTCCTTGTCCTATCACTGTCTGCCCATGTAAAAAGTCAGTCCTCCTCATGCTTGTAAGCTCTTGTTTTGCACATTTTAAATATGAACTGAAAAGAATTTGTTTAGCTTTTGTCCTGTTGTTACAGTTTATGTAACCTGGTACCACTAATCTAATGTCATGGACTTTAATGTATTAAACATTTACCAGCCACTACCTCTCCATAACCCATGGGCATTGTATCTTAATACAGACAAGTGTTTAACAATCAGTAGAAACACTTTTTTTTTTTTTTTTAAGCAGTGGAGCAATTCATAGGAAAGACAAATAGGTTCTTACAGATGTTGTTAAATAAACTAATTTGTATTTACATTTACAATTTATATTTGAATAGACTTCAATGATGACCTTCCTGTCCTTGTCATCTGCTCTTCTCCATCTTTACACAAAACATAAGACTTAATGAATTTTAAAGGGCTTTTTACAAACTTGCAATGCAACTTTCTTGAAAATGTTATATGGAGATCTGTCCTTCAAGATGTATTTTGCTAACCAAAAATGCAGTTATTCAGGGAGGGGAAATGTGCTGTAGAAGAAACAGCAGTGTGTTCTATTCTAACTAAGCATGTGGATTAATTTTCTAACACAGTAGTTAAAATCTTACTCCAAAGTTTTAGAAGGGAAAATGATTGCAAAATTAATTTAATACTTGTTTACTGAGCAAGCACTCTACTCACATACTCTCATGAGTACTTAGAAAATGTGCTTCTGAAATGACACACTTTCTCAGTCTTGGTAAATGCTTAAATCTGGTGTAATTATAATTAACATTCCAGAGACATTTAAAGGTTAAGACAAGGTAGTTCTCAAACGTACGGATGAAATGTTATCAGTCAATGTTCATTACACTTTCCTCAACTTGTTCGTGTTTTGTTTATCTCACTATAATAAAAAACCACAGTAAAAAGTCTATCCAACTTGTTTCGGTTTTTTGGATTTAACTTTTCAAAGGCTTCATTACACTTTCTCTGTTGTTTAGTCATCACAAGGAGTCAATCATTGTTTTGATGTCCAGTGCCTTTCAAACAGTGAAATAGAGTGCCTTATAACCCCATTTATCTGGTCTTAACAGGTAAACTCCAGATTGCTGCCAGAGCAAGGTAATGAGAGTCAGTCTTCCAAAGATTAACAGGTTGCAAGCAAGACTGGACATTGAATTTCCTTGTGTAACAGCCAGCTCAGAAATAGAGAGGTCAGTATGACCTATTAGAGCAACGTTTCCATAGGTCTGACATAAAATACTTAAATGTGACTCCACCATTGCAATTGGCAAGGAATACAAATAGTGAATAGCTTTACATTACTCTGCCAGTCACAAAGAGGCACACTGAAACCTACCTGGATATTTTTAAGCATTGCCAGAAAAAAAAAAAAAAGAAAAAAAAACAGGAACTATCAATGATGTGAAAGCAGAATTTGCCTTGTAAAGAAAGTTTTCTTTATTCAAGGCCAGCAAGTTTGTTTCTGAAAGAAATTTTCTCTGCAGAGAGCTATATGGTGTCTTCATTCTGCTGGCCTTCAGCTAGATAACGTATCAGAAGAAATAGTTCTGTGATTATCAGAGCAGCAAATACAGAAGCTGAAGGTCAAGGCAATACAAAGTAATCAGAAAATAGAGCAGCCAAGTTCTGAAATCTACAAGGCAAACAACTTGTTGCATATGGAGTTAAGTACACAATATAAACACTGTGTCACGTCATGAAAGAAAAGTTGGTTCTTATTTACATGCCTAGGTTTACAGTACTTGTACATTCAATACCTTTGCCTGGTGGCTAATTCACCTTGATGTAAATTACTGTGAGTTCTTGTCTTAAAGATGGTCAGATGTCTGGATACATTGGGTTTGTCTTCTTTTTTTCCAGTAAGGAGTTGCAGCACACTACATAGTGCAAGCAGTTAGATTCTTGAGATAAATTGATAAGATCTGTAAGATACAATTTACCTCTCATGTAGTATTTATCTGTTCAGGCCCCAGGAGAACCTACTTTTTACGATGCTGAGTACCTAGAAGAGGCTCACTGTTCTCAACTCCTCTCATTGGCTTCCACAGCTGTGCCCATTAATTTTCCAATTCAGCTGTAATTCGTGATTCTTGAAACAGGCTGTGTGTAAGTTATGCCCAACACAAGAGATATTTTTAGTCATCTGAATGCTTGAAGCTACTGGGGCAAGTTGGAATACTTTTGATTAGACTTTATTTTCAAGCCATGGGCTGACCACAGATAGTATCAACACTATCTAATAGTGAGTGGTTGTTTTGCTTTACATATAGTTATATATTTTGCTGTCTGTTTACAGGATGTAATGCTTGAGAAGTAAGGTCAGCTGAGAATAATTTGCTATAAAGGAATTTGACTTCAGAAGAGACTCTGACAGGGCTGGGATGAGTTAGTACCTTACTGGGGCAGGCCTCAGCCAGACGCATCCCTCATAGACAGGTGAGATGTCTCTTAGCATTTGTCTTAAGAGAAATTCCAAATCTTGAGGACTTAATGAAATCTTCTGTTGTAAGGACTTTCAAACCAAAGGAGGTTTGGAGCTGGTGCCCTAAAGGTGTACACTTGGGTCACAGGTTACTGAGGCCATACACACTTCGGGATAGAATCAGATTCTATGCTGGATCTTTCAATCCCCCCCATGCTCTCCACCTGTCTAGTATCTTAAAGCTGTTATTGGATCACATGAGAGATTAACAGACTCATGAGAGACAAAAATTCTGAGAGTTGTTTGATAGCATGGCCATGATGCAGTTTAAAAAGCAAGCTGAAGGTTTAGGTTTCAGGAGGATGGTTCTGGAATTTCTTATTAGTTTCTCTCTGAAAGAAATCACCTTTATTCTTTCCTAATAGCATCTGAAATTTCTGAACTTGTCCTGCTAGTACAAGATTAATTCTTCCCTGTCCAGGGTGGGAGCCAAGTCCTGTGTGCTGAAAAATTACTGTATGTCTAGCCAAGTCTATGTTATGAATTTGTAAAAGGGGTCCAGAAGGTTATCAGCCCTAAGAGAACTCCTTTAAAAAGCAGTCTTCCTCTTTCCCTCAAAAAAAGCACTCTTTCAGCAGATTCACTCTCTTCCAGATGTCACCATTCAGGGAGAAATATGGAAATAAAAACATCTGTGTTACTGCTGAGGCAGGATGAACAAAGTATTTCTCTGCTTTTTCTTAAAAAGTAGCATTTAAAAAAAAAAAAAAAAATCAGCTGATGTTTGTGAAACTTTACATTTTTGTGAAAAAAAAAATGATTTTTAGGAAAGTTGGATTCCATCAAAATGCATCTCCAGAGGAGAAGAAAAAAAAAAAAAAAAAAGCCAGTGCATTTGGCTGCTCCTAGCAATGCATTTAAAAGTGAGAAGAGCATGCACTTTTTTAAAGTAGATGATTTCAATTACACTACACAATTTTACAGTTCATCTGTTAATTACCTATTCTCCCAATGTGCAGATTTTATGATAGTCTTCCCTTTGAGAAGCAAAGGCTTTTTGCATCTTTTCCGGCCCTCCCTGTGGGACAGGAATAGGATGTAGACTCTCTGACTGGACTCAGACATGAGGTGCTACCACCAGAAGGGGCTGAAAGATCCATGGCTGGGAAGAAATCACGTGCTTTATGGGAATTGATGCTTGTTTTCACTTTCAGTGAGGCCATTGAATGATTGTGTAAGCAGACTATGTCTGCCACTCCTTAAAAAAACAACTGGAAGAGATTCATATTTCAGCCGCTACTGAAGGGATGTAACTGTAGAGTACTTGGGCAGAATTACAGCTGGGAGTGAGCAGCCTGCCTGCTTGGGCTGGAGACACACATATGGAGAGTGCTCAGTGGATATCTTGCAGCACTGCATATAAAGAGAATGTGTTGTATAGTGTTATATCGTACATAAAACCCTTGAATCCTGCCTCAGTAGTGAATATTTTTTTTCTTTGCTAGTAGAAAACAAAATTAAATCTTTACCAAATTCTCAAATTAGACCAGCAGTTTTTTGGAGCATAAATATTGCACTCGTTTTAGTGGCCTAAGCAGTGGCTACAATCAAAATACATTAACAAGATAAAAGAGAGATTGTACACAAGTACAAGCCTCCCCGATGAGTATGCAATCCTGTGAGAGGGAAAAAAGGCCGTTGGTCAACAGGTGCTGTGCTGAAATGCCCCTGCTTCATGTGCTGCCCATCAGTGGAGAGCTCAGTGCATGTCTGTGTTGGACTGCAATACCAAACTGAACAAAATACGCTTCTTGCTAGAGCTGCATCAGCTATTTTTGTTTTGTAAAATGCTCTGTAAACCTCAGCACAGCTTCATATGTGACAAACACCACCATGTTCACAGGAAAGGCACGGATGCAGTTCAAACCCAGGCCTTTGAACAGCACTTTGAGCCCCTCCTTTCTGATGCTTTCTCTCGCGCAGTGGATGAGGCCTTTGTACTTGTGCTGTCCCGACTCGTCCACCTGCATCCGCGACTTGAGGACATCCAAGGGGGTAGCCAGACCCCAGGCCAGCACTCCAGCAGAGCCCCCAGAGAGCAGCACGACCAGGAAACCTGCAGAGAGCAGTGAGATCAGCCTTGCACGTGCCAACAGCTCAAACTGATTCTCCCCAGACACTTATTTAACTCTTTTCAAATCTCATATTGCAGTCGGAGGGACAGGAGAGGGAAGAAAGAGCTGTGGGGCCATGCATGCTGTGCACAGGACTAGGCCTCACTATGACCCCCTCTACACGTCCTCTCCTACTATGCTGCCATCCTGGTTGGACAGGCTGCAGATCCCCCCACTTGTTTTTATCTTCATGTTTTCCAGCAGTTAATTTGCTCAGCTCCTGCAGCTCTATGTTTCCAGTGGTCTCACACTGACCACAAGGCTCTTGATCTCATAGCACGCTCCTTTTTGCATCCTCCATACAGGCTGTGCAGGTCAGAACCCACCTCAGCATCACGTAAACCAGATGCAACATGGCCCAACAGCTCTCACCCACTTCAGCCAGATCTACTTAATTTTATAACTCTCAGAATTATGCTTTTTTGGTAAACATCACTTATCTGGGCTTTTCTCAAAGTGGATATCTGCTTTTTGGAGCCAAATCACAAGTGAGGAACTTGTCTCTTTCTATTCTTCACCTGAACTCTATTTTCAAGCTCCAGACTGGCCTGAGCAGTGCCTTATGATGGCTTGTGGGAGGTTTGTCCATGTTTCATCTCCACCAACACATCTCATTTCAGCATTGAGGGGATGTTGTACCCATGTGCTAGGTATCTGAGGGTGCTGTGAACATCCTTCTGCAGAGAGAGAAGTTGCTGAGGGATGAGGTCAGATGCTCAAAGTTCAGCTCCTATTGATGCAGCAACCTGAGAGCATGAGTTCCCAAAATAAGCCTTTTTCATATGTGATGTCAGATGCTTTCCAGTACCTACCTGGTTTGTTTTTCCCAGCTGGTGTGAGCCAGTCACAGAGAGAAGAGTATGTCAGGAAATATATTGCAGAAGAGGAGCAATCCCTGCACAGCAATGCAGAGCAGCCTTTGTAGAGACCCCCAAAGCCTTCCTCCTTGGCGATCACCTTCAGACAGTGCAGAGACCCTCGGTACTTCGGCTTGGAAAGGGGCTGGGAGGGTGTGACAGAGGAATGGGGGTTCCTCTGGGTCTGCATCCGAACTTTAGCTACCTCACTGGGTGTCATAAGCACAACCTGAAAAATTAGAGGATGAAGCTTAAATCTTCAAATCTGAACTGCATGTTGGATCCCCCTGCTGCCTGACCCTTCAGATTACATCTCCCACTTTTCAGGCAATATTATTTGTTACTTGAAGCCATCAAGTTGCATCTTCCTTCACTTTGTCCATGCTAAATTGCCCCAGAAGAACAGGTGCTACACTGTGCAGGTTGCATGGAGAAGCAGAAAGCCACGGAGGATGGTAGCTAACTGATGGGCACAGCAAGGGGATGTGGTCAGCTCTCTGATGTAGCATACATCAGGGCTCTTTTGTACATCTGTATTTGAAACTAGGGCCATAACTGTCAGAAAACAGCCTGTGCTAAGCAGAGTCACCACCTGCTAGGAAACACCCACTGACCTGGCCATCTGGGACGTCTGTAAGAGGATTGCCTCCATCCGCCTGTGACTGCATGTGTTTCTGATATGCGGCACTGGGGTTGGAGTGTCTGCAAATGCTCACAGATACTACAAACATCCATCTGCCTATGGGAAACAGCTCCTGAGAACCCCACACCACGTTACTATCAGTCGTGGGCATTGATTCCTCTGGGTGCCAGCTGCTCAAGCCTTTAGGAGTTGCAGGAAAGGAGATGCCTTTCTGTCTTCTTTAAAACCTTTTATGCAGAAATGAAATACACACAGGCAGCCCTCAGTGACCAGCTGTCTCTTTCAGACCTTTGCCCCTGCCAAAACACCAGCCTGCACTTTGCACACCAGCTTACGTCTTTTTTACATAAATCTACAATTAGAGCTACTTGGAAATTTTGCTTCCCACGTTGTTTTTCTTCCTTTTTGTTTTGCTTTCTTTTGCCAAGGTCGCAGGGCAGGACCTCACAAGAAAATAAACCTTCCTCCTGCTGAGCGCTCGACAGAAAACATCAGTGTTTTCCCGGCCCCACATGCCCCAACAAGACTTCCTGTTGTGTTTTCCCACTTTGCTGCCTACCCGCACAGCACCAGCAGCACCTCCAGCCAGAGAAACATCCAGCCCCGATGGCTTGGCATCGGCTGCACCGTACCGCAGCTTGCAGATGTTACAAAGGAAGTTTCTGTATGTGCCGAATGAAACAGAGGAGATCAGCGACACTGTGAAGACTGATGCTGACACACCTTTGTAAAATCCCAAAACCTGATTGAAAACAGAGAAGAAAAGACTTTTAAGAGGGAGTGATGTGAGAAAGTTCAAAAACACTGTACACATATGGCTGAGCCTAAACTTATTGCCATCCTACAGATCATTGGCAAAGTTAAATCCCATTCTAATTATTCTCCCAGGCAATGCTTGTATTCAACTGCAACTCATCCTCCCCAAATTGACCACAGCAGCACTGCTCCTCTGAAACACAAAGCCATCCACAACCCCTGCAGTGGCTCTAATGAGAGGTACCTACTCTTTCTGTCCTGTATGTTTCTTGAATGCAGTGCCAAATGCCATTGTAATGGCCCTCGGTCTGAATCCTCACCTAAAAATACAGGAGCAACTTAGAAATGCAGACATCACACTTAAAAACCATCAACAAATGCTGCAGCAGCAAAGCAGCTAATCAGCCATAAGGAAGCATCCCCCAAAATGTTACCATATCTTTAAGAGAAGAACACAAATAAAATGAAATACATTGATGTGACAAAGCTGGAAGCTTTCAGTCACTGGATTAGTTTTCTAACAGGGTAGAAAAACACCACATGGCCCATTTGTGTTCAGACTGTGGTCAAGAAGTAAAGTTCCAACAGCTACCTTCACTGTGTCCAGCGGATACCCCACTGCTGTGCTTAGGCCACCTGAAACAGAAAGGTTTTTGGAGACGGTTACCAACGCACATCACAGCAGGCTGTTCTGCAGGAGGTCATGAGGGGAACTGCAGAAAAATGCAACTGCTGAGCCTGTCTGCTCTTAGTAGCCTATCACTCTCCAGCTCCAATGTCTGAGCCAACAATGACAGAGCGAAACTCATACATTTCTCTGAAAACATAGCACAATAAGAGGAGGAATGTGAGCACTGACATAAGCAATTACACTGGGGTTTGAGGCAGGGCTGGAAAAACATAGAGCCTTGGGACAAGGGAAGGTACGTGCATGCACCAGTCCTGGGATCGGTGAAGCCCTGTTGGAAAGGTCCAGGTGGAATGCACAGAGCTGGACTGTCTCTGTTCCCCCTCTCAGCTTAGACAAGAGCATCTTCCTTGTGCACCAGACAATTTGTACACTGCAAAACCAGAGCAAGGATCAAAGGTCTGGAGGCTGGGGAGGAGAGAGCCTTGTGCAAGGACCAGCATGGGGCAGGGCAAGATGAAGGCACAGAGGGGGATTAGCACTAAGCTGCGTGCCCAGCAGCATGCCTGCACACAGCAGCATTTCCAGCACGCTGGGGGAATTTGTCAGCCCTACATCAGCACCCAGCTCATCTCAAGACCTTAAAATAGCCAGTGGGATTGGAAATACATTAATCCTATCAGACAATGTTACTGCCTTGATGGTGGATACAGAGAGTGAAAGTGCATCAACATGGACACAGCAATAAGGTGCTCAGCCTTCATTCCTGCATCACTGCCATAGGAGAGAGTAGGGGGGTGAGCAGCTAAATTCTTCCAGCAGCAATGCCACGTGGCTGGAGATCAAGCCAGGTGCACTGGAACTGCACCTCTAAGAGTCGTTTGCACCAAGCCCATGGAAGTGCTGTTTGAGCCCATCAGGGCAGGCAGGTGGTGTACATCTGGAAATGGCCACTCATTGACTGCTGCTTAAAAAAAATACTAGTTGCTGTGAGCATTTCACATTTCACAGGATGCATTTGCCTGCAATTGTACAGCTGCTTGGAAGCTCTGAAAAGCTTTGCTACATTTCGGGAAAAAGCAGCAGCTGCTGGTGGGAGTCTCCAGGAGGCAATCCTGAAGTCCACAGCTCAGATGAAGATAATCAACCATTCCCAGCTTGCAGGAAAATGAGGATTGTTCTGCAAAAAATCTGTCTGCACCCAGAAAAACAACAATAAAGATTAAAAAATGAGCCAAGAAGCGACTTTCTTATTTCCAATCCAAAACAAGAGTAGGTTGGAAGGAAGAGGGGAAGCGTGCAGGCAGCGTGACCCAGCAGGAAGAGTGCACCAGGTCACCTGGGGCCACCTGTCCTGTACCCATTTCCCATTTGGCAGCAGGCAGCAGCCACAGGTTGTCCCATGCCAATTTCCCATTGCATCTCATTCTGAAGGGCTCCTGCTGACCTTAGATCCAGTACCAACCAAGTGCCTCCACCTGAGAGGGAGCACAAATGTAAATGATTCACCACGCTGGTGATGTGAGCTCTCAATACTCTTAAGCAAGCACGAAGCACCTAGTGAGCAGAAGCACTCTGGGCAGTCAGGGTTTCAGTGCTGAGGAGCTCAGCCAAGTCTGCCAAAGGCTAAGGAAGAAGGGCTCTGCACAGGATATTAATAGCTTGGGACAAAGATAGACTGACCCACACACGCACTGTCTGCATGGCAAAACCAAACAAGGCCAGATATGTACAGCATGTATACAGGGAAAGGGGTCCTATGGGGTTCCTGCTGGGTCACACTGCACTGGCTGTGGGGAAATGAGATGATAAAACCAGAGAAATGCTCTTCATTGGGTTGCAGGGAGCCATTTGTCACACCTTTATTTGAGCAGTTCTCAGGGACTGTGCAGCGATTGCAGAACCCCTCACATGAACACACCCCAAAACTAGATCCCTCACCCTGTCATAATCAGGTCACGTTGGCCAAGAAGTTAAAATAAGGAGAGGTGCTGGCAGGAGGATCACAGCAGTGGCATTGGCACAGAGCAAATGTCAGCCCTCTGGAGCTCACCTGCCCACAACAGGCCCAGCTGTGACACTTAGGGAGCAAGACGGAGCCTGGACTACATGTTGGATCTAAGAAAACAACTTCAAAAGGCCTTTACTCTGTAAAGAGCTGGGAACATAAGAGCTGCTCTATACTCCAGACAAGCTGAACTTCTTCCTGTAATGCGACCCTGCTTATGGCCAGCAGAGATGCTTTAGCTGTACAGCCAAGGAGACAGCACGTTCCCTTCATGTTCCCTAGATGGGTCATTTAGTCTACCCCTGGGCTGCATGTGACCTTGCAAATGGGATGCAGGAAGACTGGATGTGACCCAGGCTTGGCTGCTCTGCCACCATTGCAGGGCAGTGCCAGGTGGCTCAGCTGCCCTTTTCCAAATCTCTGCACCCAGGACAAGATCTAAGTCATCCACAGGTCATCAGTAGCCCTAGTTATCAATATGCACCATACATTGCTGCATGGCTAGGAAACACACACAGGATCATAGGGAAATCCATGCTAGAAGGAACCACAGGAGATTCCTGGTCCAACCTCCAGCTGAAAACTCAAGTCAGCTTTATCAGTCAGGAAGGACATCCTGATGAGCTGCTATTCAGTGGTTATTCAAAGGTCCTGCACCTGTGTCAGAGCAATCCCAAGTATAAATGCAAGCAGCTCTGAGGACTTGGGGATGTCAGTTGATGAGAAACTTGATGCAAGCTAGCAGTGTGCATTTGCAGCCCAGAAAGGCAACCATGCATCAACAAAGCAGAGACCAGCAGGGAGAGCAAGATGATTGTCCCCTTCCACTCTGCCCTTACAAGTCTCTATTGGGTGTACTGCATCCAGGCCTGGGGCCTCTGGCACAAGAAAGATGTGGAGCTGTTGGAGCAGCTCCAGAAGATGATCAGAGGGCTGGAGCACCTTTCCTGTGAGGCAGTTGGGCTTATCTAGCTTGCAGAAGAAAGGGCTCCCAAGGAGACCACGTCGCAGCCTTACTGTACACTTAAAGGAAGCTTATAAACAGGAGAGAAGTCAATTTTTTACACAGGTAGATAGTGACACGACAAGGAGAATGGCTTTAAACTAAAAGAGGGGAGATTTAGATGTTAGGTGGAAATTTTTCACTCAGAGTGGTGAGTCACTGGCACAGGCTGCCCAGAGAAGTTGTGGATACCCCATCCCTAGAAGTGCTCAAGGCCAGGTGGATGGGACCCTGGGCAGCCTGATTTGCTGGGTGGCAACCACCCCACTGCAGGAGACTGGAACTGGATGGGCTTTGAGTTCTCTTCCAACCCAATTCATTCTGAGATTGTATTGTGATCTGTCTCACCTCTTGAGTTGTTTGATGCCCTTCATCTGGGTTTGCAGCCTCCTTGGGAGAACAAAAAACTGCTTCAGTTCTAACAAGGACAAGCCATGAGGCACATTCAGCACTAACAACATCCCAGTTCTCATAGGAAAGCCATTCTAGCCCTGGAAGCTGTCCCATGTAAGGGGACAAAAGTTGGTACATGAGCAATGCAGGAAGGCTACTTGGAAACTGAGTTTTCAACTCTAAATTCCTTTGCAAAAGAAGTTTATCCTTAAGTGGCTGACTCCTCTACAACTGTGCTAGCAAAAGCAAAGGTCCCAAAGGGAACACAGCCATCACTGACACCCTGAGCTGAGCCCAGCCACAAACAGCACCTATTAAAGGATGTTTGGTTCATCTTTCTGGGATGGACATTCTTCTATCAGCACCAGCACAAGGCTCACAACACCACCACATGCCCTGAGGTCAGCAAGGAAAGAGGAGAAGGATGAGCTGGAGTGCTGCTGGGATACAAACCTGGCCCTACTTGTGACAATTCAGTGATGAGCAAATGAAGGCAGTAGAGTGAAACTGTCATGCCTCCCCCCTGCCCCCCCAGGAAATGCACATTGGTGCCAGTATCACGCTGCCCAAATTCAGCAGATCCAACATAAAGGTCTGGGCTGCACCTTCCAGCCACCAGCAGGACTACTCGGCCTGTGACCACCCCAGGCCTCTTGGTATTCAACACTGCTACATCTGACAGGCACATTTCAGAAGAGAAATGAGACCAGTGCCTGCGCTTCGTTGTTTAAAACAAAACTAGGTTTGAGCAGTACGTGCTCTAAAAATGTCTAAAATTAAATCACGATTTTCTTCTTTCTCTCCTTTTTTTTTTTTTTTTTTTTTTTTTTAAAGTATGGCTAACCTACTTTATCATCTCCTCAAAGCTTGAACAGAAATAGCCCCACAACTGTCAATACCTCTCACCCACGATCATGCACATGCATTCACACAGCCCCTCCTCATTGCCACAAAGCCGTGAGCTGTGTCCTCAGCCCCCTGCATCCTCAGCCCCCCCGTGTCTTCAGTGCCCAGAGCCAGGACTCCATCAGCCGTGCCAGGATTTGCTGCCCAGGCAGTACTCACTGTTTTGTATCTCCAAAAGGCATATTGCATTTGATCTCTGGTTTTCTCCTACTGAAATATAAACAGAGGAGATCGCAGACCTCAGATAACCAAATTTCATCAGGGTGGTCTCTGCCCTGGTGATGTTATCTGCTTATTAAAGAAGACACTGTTACCAGGAAACCCCAGTGGACAGAATCCCATCTCTACCACCGCAACCTGCCAGCTAGCTTAGCAACAAGGAAACACAGCTACCTGATTCCAACAAAAAGCACCGCTTTATTTCTTTACCTCCAATGGCCCCCGCAATGAAATCCATCCGGACTGAGTCTGCAGCCTCAATGACCCCAACAAGCGTCAGGGAGGCGGTAGGAGGAAGGATGCCGGCTCTGCTTTACTGGAGCCCCGCGGGTCCTTCAGAGCCAGCGTGATCTGCAATATGAATCACCTTCCTGTCTTCTCCTGCCTCAAGGGATTGTGAGCCTCGTGGATACTTGATGAATTTGTACACTGGAGGCAGTAACAGGGAGGCTGGAGCTGTTCCAAGAACACGGTGAATAAGTAATCCCCCGTAGCCCTGCAACGCTGCGCCAGAGCCCTTCTGCCTGGAAAATCACAAGGGGTGGTGCTTGCGGGGTAAGGCTGCCTGCAAAAGGGCCATTTCCCGCAGCTCTCGTTAAGCCCAGCTGTCAGCCTTGCACTTGCTATGCACCGCAGAGAAGCAGCACAGTGGCCGTGTTTGCAATGCGTGCCCCAGCCGTGCCTGCCCTCCCTCCGGACAGGGCAGATTCCCTTCTCACGAAGAAATTCCTCCCCGAGGCATTTCCCTTGGCTTTCCTATGCACACAACAGACCCTGAAGCCTTACCCACATCCCCTTAAATAATTACCTGCTCGTCGTCTATGCACACCTCCAGCAATAAATGCAAGAGCATGGGAAGCTTCCTTTTCAGATCACAGGGCAGTTTTCTCATACCCTGGAGGAGCTCTGCTGCTTCACATCTTGCTCAGCCTCCTGACCTATTTCCAGAGTCAGCTCAGCAGCTTGGATCTATCACTGCTGCCCTCACCCTGATGCTTTGATCTGCAGGGAAGAGGGATTTTGCTACAGGACTGGTCCAAAACCTTTTTTTTTTTTTTTTTTTTTTTTAAATTTCAGTAGAAGATGGTGATCTGAGGAGGGGAATAAAAGACCTGCTGGCTGAGGGTAACCAGCCATGACAATGCCACATTGCCTATTTCTATTTTTGCGCAAGAGCCCTGTGCTGGAGGTTATGTTGTGCCCCCAGCTGAACCTGGAAACCAAAGTCCTGATGCAGTGAAGGGCTTGCCAAACCATGATCTGAACTGTACTTCTCCTGATGAGATTTCCCCAGGTCAGAGCCAAGGCTCATTGGCAGCGAAGAGAAAAGAAAATTTCACAGCTGCTGCCCACTGGGTCGACTCTCAGAGGAACTGAGGACTTTTGCCCACAGTGCTAAGTCTGCTAAGCCTCCTGCACATTTCACAAGACTCTTTCTCCCTGAAATGCATATTTTAGAAGTTTCAATGATGCATAACACAGCTTTCTGTGATCAGATTTTCTGGAAAGCAAAAATTAGAGCATTTCTATCAATTTGCATTCCATGATTTCTCACTCATCCTGCCCCAAACACATTCCGTGTTGGAGAGAATGTTTTATTCTACAGTGTAATACCATGCAAGGACAGCAAAAACTCAAAAACTGGTGTAAAATATTATCCAGTGAGAGGGCAATGTAACTTACTGCTGACACACACCAGGTTATCCAGCAGATCTCCCTTCTTCCACCTGGTGACCATACAGGAGTTGTTACGGTTCAGCAGCAGCCTGCACATGCCAAGTGGGAGAAATGGTTCTGTATGCAGTTCTCATACCAGAGAATTATGTCCCCGTGGGTCCTCTCCAGCTGTGGGCATAGTACCCAGCACCTCAGTGACACATAGGAACAAGGACATGGTCCCTAGAGATGGACAGCCTTGTAGCAGAGACTCAGGCTCACGAGGGACCTTGGGAACCCCGCTGAGATGAGGGTGTTTAGTTTTGCTTTCCTGGGAGCTGCTCCCAGGTCAAATGAAGAAACTCATAGTGTTCCCACTGTGAAAGCATCACCATGTGTCCCACTCATCACATATTCAGGGACTTTGATGGAGGGTGAGGACAGAGCCTTCTGCAAGTGCAGTCCATGCAAGGCTGCGTGCCAGCCAGCACAGACAAAGGTGTCATTAGAGGTGAAGGAAATCTCTGAGACATGAAACCAGTGTTATTGGTTTTGCCATCACCCTCAGTTCGCATAGAGATCTTCAAGTTTCTCTTCCAGCAGATCAGTTGTGAACCATTCCTACCACTCTTTCATGCAGGGAACACAACATCCAAGGATTGATGTAGTTCACTGTAAACCCAGCCTGCAGTGAGACACCATGGTCCACATCTGTGCAAAAAGTCTCTGAGTCTCAACCCCAGTAGTCTTCTCAAAGCATGCCTTAGGACATCTGACACATGAAACGTATGCTTAGAGCCTCTACAAGGATACGACTCTGCTAGAAATAACTCAAAAGTCTTTCCTCTAGAAGCAATCTGTTTAAGAGTGATTTGTTCAAAATGGAGAAATTTCAAAATGGATTTGGAAAAAGAAGAGCATGGAAGATGCTGTTAGATGAAGACTGGACTGAAAATATAAAGCAATCTGCAAGAAATTATGAAACCAAATGATAGAAGAGAGAGATATAGCTTAGTTTTGCAAAGCATGTGCTGCAAGAAATGCTCCATTTGCTTCAGAGGAGGACTGTCTTCCCACTTCAGTAAGGGAAGTGACAGCAAGGAACAGCGCCCTACAGATACAGAGCAAAATAGAGGTGCATAAGGAGCCTGTAGGAGAGCAAACAGTGTTAAGTAGCATCTCTTAAAGGAGATATAAAAGGAGGAGTGTCCCTTTATCCTTCTTCCACAGGATACTCTCAAAATGCTCTCAGGACATCCACCATCTCCATCCACCCTGCAAAGTGACAGGGCAGCTAGTCCTTTCATCACCTGCAACCTCACCCAGCCAGACTGGCTGAGAAAATGTTCCTGCCTTAATGCATGTCATAACATGCTGCATTTTCCACTCCTCTTGTACTGTGTTATCAAAAATTAATTCCCCACTAATTTATTTCAGAAAATCCTTGACTGGAGAGGCTGTTCAAACAGCACTGTCCCACTAATGTCACCAAACTGTTTGCAAATTGCAGAAGGGAAAGAGTGACAGCAGCAACACTGAGCTGGCAAAGCCTGAACTATGACTTGCATATCAGTGGGTGAGAAAGGGGTGGGATCTTCTGGCTCCATCTGCATTACAGGTTCTCAAATCAAGTTGTCTCACTGGGCTTTATCTCAGGTACAAATGAAAGAACAGTAACCCTGGGGACTCAAACATTCACTGCAGGAATTTTACAGCTCAACAAACAAAACCCATAAGGAAACCATTCTGGCAGCTACATTACTTCTCAGCAGGTACAAAAGATCAGTGATTTCACCTGTGGAAAGCTGAAATAAGGTTGAAGTGTTTCTCACCTGATCCCAAAGGAAGGGAATATGATGACTGCAGTACTTTAAGAAATGATACAGATGTTCTGTATGGCTGTATCGCTCAATCGCTCTATAGCTGACCTTCTCATCAACACAACAGGTTGCTGTATGTATGTCCACTGCCATGGAGCCAATTCTCCATGCGGTTTCAGGCACTTGTCATCCATGAAAAGGTGGAAATAACATTAGCACCATCCTAATAGCACACTGAGCATCTTTCCAATCTCTTCCACATTTTCAGCCCTTAAGGACAGAAGACACAAACAGTAACCTGGCAGCAGGTCTGGGGATACAGCAGCTCCCTCCCCTGCTCCCACTGTGGAGAGATGTTCCCCATCCCTCCACCCCCTTTCCCACCTAGCAATAGTTCATTCATTATTGGCCATGACCATATTGAGGCACCACCCTCAGCCCCCTCACAAGCAGCTGAAGTCATTCAGGTGTTTGGCTGCAAGACACAAATCTGGTAAGAAGAATGATAAGCACCAAAAAACGTTGGCTGGGGCAGCATCAGTGCTCTCTGTAATGTCTTTGGATCTGTGTCTTTTTCCAGTATGTACATCCCTACAGCAAACTCAGGTCTCTGCTCCACACCTCTAAAAAAATCTATGAGATGCTGGGTTGTTTTCTTGTTTTTCTTGTTATTGGAACTACCTGATTTGTTGTGATTTAACAACCTCAAAACTTCCTGGAAATGTAGAAGAAAACCCAGCTCTAGAGCTATAAACCATTATTATGTAGGAGTTTAGCTACTAAAGTCACATGGGAAAGATTGTTATAAAGATACTTAACTGCCAAAGCTGGCACCATTGTGTTCAGAAAAAAAGGATGTTTTCTAAATAACAGCATTATTATGAGCTTATGCTAAGAGGGGATATATAAAAAAAGAAAGTAAGAAGATTTTTATCTTGCAAGAGAAAAAGTGAAAAAATAATTAATACATTCAAGCCAAGTCTCTGAATATCACATAAGCTCATGGCCTCGCTTATCGCTCTTTATTTTTCTTTTCCCTGGCTCCAGTTCAGGAGCTGTACAAGAGCCTATCTTGCAGAGTGCATGGGAAGTTTCCACAAAGGCACCTTAGTCAGGCTGCTCAGCCTGTTCTTTCGGTTTCTAAGAACACGGTGTCATTTTGTGTGACTAATGCAATAACAAACATATTTCACATGGCAGCTGGGAGACTGGTAGGAAACTAACCTGAAGACAGACCAAGATAGCTCTGTCCGTACACCTTAGTTCTGTTGCCTTGCAACGCATTCTCCCTTCATTTTGGATTTTTCCTCTCCATGCACTACTGATTGGTGCACACCATACAGTGCATCTGCACAGCCAGGTAACTCAGCATGCTGCTGCTGGAGACCTGGTCTCCCACTCGTTGACTTTGCACGTGGATACAAAATGTGCCAGAGGATTTCGAGTACACAATGTTGAAAGTGTATTTGTATAGCTGCTGGCAGGGAAAAACCATTTGCTCAGAGGAATGTTCCTGTAAGAACAAGCTGCTTAAAAACAAAGGCAGGAGACGGGCTGAAGAGGTTGTCCTGCTAGCTCTGCCATTTCTACCTCAGAAATCAAGGACAAATCTCTCTTAACAGTTTCCTTATCTATGAAATGGGCACAACTGACTGTTTTTACTTCATTGAAACAGCTTGAGGTTATATTGTTTATAAAATCAGATTGGAAAATGCTATAAAATGTCAAGTCTTGACTTTTATATTCCTTTTTTGGGTTTAGTTTTGCTTTTGCTCATTGTCACCAGTCACACCTGTATTTGCTGAGTGCCTGGTTAATATACATTGAGGGGGGGAGATGGGTACAGCTGCATGGTGGACAGACAGTTCAGGTAACTGGATGTGGTGCACACCCTCATATCAGTACATCTCAGTGCATCTGAGTGCACCTCTGGCATCTTAAACCCTGCTGCCAAACAGCTCAGCACACTGGGTCTGCTGAAGCCCCACACTCCATATCACGGACTGCATGCAGGTGCAAAGTATTCCCTCTCCAAGAGAGGCTCTGATCACGCTCTCCCAACAGGCCCAGCTCTCTTCTCGGAGCGCAGCGGTCTCATGTTTTGGGATCACAACCAGGAGATTCTGGGGGATCATCAAGTCCCTGTCTGTCAGATGGTCTGCCAGCAGAGCAGCTGCTTCAGCAGGACATGGACTCTTGTCCAATGCTTTTAAATACCTGTCTTATCAAGGGATTTCATCAGGCTGGGAAGTTTCAACATTTGATATACAGTACCTTTGAAGCCTGTGGGACAATAACATCAGAGAATACCCTAAAAGCACTCAAGGTCATAAAGTTAATGGATAATAAAGACGTTTAGTTCACAACAAATAATGCCATAGCTGCTCTCTTCACAGACAGCAGCTTCCTGAGTATTTGGAGTATCCATCACATCCCACCACTGGTACTGGTTTACTGTTGCTGGGCTGCCACTCCGTGAAGCACTGGCTAACCTTCAAGACTACTTGT